AACCCACTCACCAAACCAACAACAAAACAATTTTTTTTTCTTTTATTGCATAGATATCTAAAATAACTAACAATCTATTTGAAAATTATGGAATCCACCTTTTCTTCTTTGTCTTCTTTCTCTAGCTTGAAATTTTCTTCAATGGGTGTATTTATGGGAGTATAATCTTCTATCTTAAACATTTTGATTATTTCACCAGCATATTTTCTCTCGAGTAACACCAAACCTCTTGAGGTGTTGAGAAATTCCATTTTTAGAAAATAGGATAGCATGCCTAGATCAATCATCTCAAATTCTGACATCATGAATTTCTTGAATCTCTTGATCTCAGATTTGTTGCTTCCTATCACAACTAAGTCATCAACATACAAGCATATCAAAGTTATGCTAGAAATTTTTTCCTGAACATACACACCATATTCAATCATGCATTTGTTGAATCCCAAATGCAACAGAAATCCATCTATTATCTTGTTCTAGACTTTAGGTGCGTGTTTTAGGACATAAAGTGTCTTGTTCAATCTATACACCATGTATTCTTTGTCTTTGATCTCAAACCTCGGCACTTGAGTGACAGAGACTATTTCCTCAATTAGCTCATTTAAAAATATTGACTTGACATTTAGGTGAAACATGGATCATCCTTTTACATTTTCTATGGCTATCACAAGCCTAACTGTCTCATTTTGGGCTACATGGCATAATCTTTTGAATATTCAAGACCTTTTCTCTGCAGAAAACCTCTAGCAACTAACTTGGCATTGTATTTTTCAATTGATCCATCTGGATTATCTTTCAAATAGAACACCCATTTTACTTCAATATACATATTATCTTATGGTAGTTCTATTAGTTATCAAGTATCATTCTTTTCAATTGTATATAGATCTTATTTCCTAGACATATTTCTATGCTTTGATCATTAAGGCTTCATGATGGTTGATGGGCCTAGAATATGACATTATCTCTATATGAACTAGATCACCTTCTTCGGTCACTTTATTGTCATTGTTCAGTTCACATTTTTGCACCCTTCTTGGAATGTTCCTTGTTATTTTAGTTCTATGATTTACCTAAACATCTAGAACGTCCACATCTTCTTCAAATTATTCATCATTATCATCATTGTCGTTGAGAAATTAACTCAATTGAGACTTGCTTGAACTGCTCCCTGATTTCCATCCCAGGAGTTTCCCTAACCTATGACTATATATCTTATAATAGAAATATTTTGAGTGGAAGGATCATGCTTTTTGTAGGCATCAGTTGCATGATAACCAACTAAAACCATTGATGTGCTTTTATCATCCAACATCCTTCTCTTGGCATCAGTTACATGTTTGTGACATATTGCCGTAAATACTCTAAAATGATGCACACGAGGCTTATTTCCCCTTCAAAAATCAACATGTACTTATTTCTTTAACCTTCTAGTTGGACATTTGTTCAACACATTTGGTGTAGTGTTAACTGCTTCACCCCAAAATTATTTGGGCATACATATTTGATTTACCATACGTCTAGCCATATCAAAGATAATTATGTTTCTTCTTTTAACTAAGTCATTATGTTGTGGTGTATAAGGATTTGTTTCTTCATGTTGTACACCTTGATCTTCATAAAATGACTCAAAGTTCTTTGATGTGTATTCACCACAACCATCAGCTCTTAGAACCTTAATTCTTCTACTACTTTTGTTTTCAACCAGAGATTAACTTCTTGAATATGTAAACACTTTATCCTTAGATTGAATCAAATAGATCCAAATATTCATGTTATGATCATCAAAAAATGATATGAAGTATTTATTATTTTCTATAAACTTTCCCTCAAAAGTTCCACACACATCTAAGTGGACAACTTATAGCATATTGTTTGACCTCATTGGTAAGTTGGACTTAAATGAGTTCATGGGTTTATTACAAACCAAGCAACCATCACACTTATTCTCATGCATTTTGGAACTTGGAAAATCTAGCACCATACATTGAGTGGCTAATTTATTTAGGGATGTAAAGTTAAGATGATCAAACCTTATATTCCATAGCCAGCTTTTCTTGTCATCTACCCCAACTTTCAAGCACTCTACCTAGATGGTGTTGATCGATGTATTGAAGATCATATTAGTTGCAAGTGTTGACCTCAATACAAGGATGTTGGTATGATTATATAGTTCAAATACATTTCTTTATAATTACATATAAGTTTTTCTCAATAATGTGGCCAATAGTAGATTGCATGTCATTCTAGGTACGAACAATATGTCATCGGTGATTGCATATTTGCCATCATTCCTTCTGATCATCATGTTCCCAATTCCATAGGGGTGTGCAAAAAAACTGGTTTACACAAACCAATTTTAAAAATTCAGTGCACCAATTTTTATAATCCAATTTGTGTTGGATGTGAACCGCTCTAGATCCATTTTGATATCAAAATAAAAATCTGGTTTCCATTTTTGATAACCAGTTGTCATACATAAAACCAAATGTATATGATATTATTATTAATGAATAAGATATTATTAAGGCACAGTAAATTCAAATTCGTGTAAACCAATTTATATAATATTCAAATTGAAAATGGAAAACTAGTTTATATATTTTATTTTATTTATTATTAATTAGTTAATTAGAATGGTGATTAGTTAAGGGAAGAAGAACTTATTAAGTTAATTGTGATGAACGATTGTTAATCTGTATTTTTTTGTTTAACTGTTATAGTGTAGCAATTGTTTTGAAGCAGATTTTGTCTTGGTTTTAGGATGTTTTGTTTTAGTTTTTTTGGGTTCTAGTTTTAGTGTTCTGGTGCAACTTTATCATAGATTAAAGTGTAATATTTTTACTCTTAAATTGAATTTTACTTTTTTGTTTTTCAAAAAAATTATGAAAAACGATTTGTGCTGGTGTTTGAATATAATAGTATAAAAATGACACATGCCTTTGCATCTTGTTCCCTTCATTAACCTGAATTTTTTTCGTCTCTTCAAATTAAGAAAGATACAATTTCCTTATAAATCAATTTTGATTGAAAACCGGTTTAAACCGGTTTTGAACCGAATTGAAACCATTTTACAATTTTAAATTGGTTATTATAAAAAAATGGTTTAATTTTAAAACTAGAACCAATAAAATGGATTGGTTCTTAAAATTTGATAACCATGCACACCCCTACAGTTCCATCATCATGTTCCCAGTTCCATCAACTTGTAATTTTTATTATATGTTAATCTTGCCTTGCTCATTCTTGATCTATCAAACTTGACTAACCAAATCTTGTGGTATGTCATATTATTTTAGCAGCTTGTATCTAGAAACCATGATCCTGCTTTATGTTGGTCTTTGGACATTGTAGCCATGAACACTATAATGTCATCATTTGAATCCTCTTGGACTATATTGGCTTTATCATCATCATTGTCTTGATCCCTCTCATTTCCTTTATTGTACCATTAATTTTAAGGCATAATTACCCCATTTTCACGATTATATCACTGAATGTGTTTCTTTTCCTTGTTTGGAATATTTTGTTGGTTAAAGTTTGATATCCCTCCTTGTTTCTTAAAGTATTCATGTTTACCATCAAGTTTGGTCTTCGGGAGTTTGAACTTGTATATTTATTGAATTTATCTTGAATCTCCATGGCTTTGTGCCTCTCAAAATCACCATTCTTCTTGAAAGTTTGAACCTACAAAGCTTGAACTGACTCTTGCATTCCCATTCTTTCAAGAATCATTAATGCATGTGCTTCACTACGCCAAAAATAAGTTACGAAAGCGCTTTTTTTGGCCTTTAAAAGCGCTTTCTAAGGTGGTGCTGCTATAAGTTTTAGCAGCGCTTTTTGTTTAATGAAAAGCGCTTTCGTAGGTCTACCTAATACAGCACTTTTTCTAAAAAGCGCTCTCTTAAGTAGGATTTTGGCAGAGCTTTTTTATGAAGAAGCGCTTTCATAGGTCTACCTAAGGCAGCGCTTTTTTCTGGAAAAGCGCTCTCATAAGTTTTATTTTAGCAGCGCTTTTTTCTGGAAAAGCGTTGTCTTATGTAGGATTTTAGCAACGCTTTTTTCTGGAACAATCAAAAAACACTGTTGGGATCTAAAACAAATAGAATCAATGTTTTTTACAAATGAATCTCAGAATGTATAGAAAATAAATCAAATCTTATAGAACAAATAAAATAAAATCAATACATTATAGAATCGAATCAATTACAAACGATTTCAACCCCTAATTTTCCTAATCACTCTAAATCTAAGCTCTAATCAAACTTGTAACGATGTTTTGCAAAATCTGAAACCCTAAGCCCTATAAATAGCTAAAGAAGAATACAGAAAAGGGGGGAAGATCTGAAGACGGAGCAGAAAAGAAGAAAAAACTTAGAGGAATACGGAGCCTTGCTGTTGAAAAGGAGAAAATATGATTTAGGGTTTCAATATCTGAAACCCTAAATCGCGTCGCCGTCAACCTCCCTTAAACGCATCTCCGAGCCGCCGTTACATCACCTTCGAAGGCCATCACCTCCCTTGACCTACAAATCGAAAATAAAGAAGAAGATAAGAACCAGAAACATAACATATCAGAACAATCGCGATCAGAGGTAAACGAAACTTAGCTTTTTTATTTCTGTGTTTTGATTTCTGCCTCTCAACTCATTCAAAATATCAAACCAACTCTATTTGCAAAGGAAAAATATCTTATAAATGGGAGACACGTTTATGATGTCATCAATATCACAAATGGCCCATGGGTTACCTGCAAGGATGCATCGATTTACAAATAAAGTTAGCCACAGCTCTCAACCACGTCACTCAAAGTTAACATATTCAGCCTCAAATTTCTCTCATGTTCTGATGCATAACATGTGCGCACATAGCAATCAAAGAAAAACATAATACCTTGGTTTATTCCAGTTAGCCATCTTATTTCGGTTAGCACCTCCATAGTGCAGAGGAGCAGCAACAACCCTACGTGCAACCTCGGTTGCAAGGGGAAATTGGTTTCCCTAGAAATTTGACCTTCTTTTTGCAAGAACTCCCTAAGAACCGCAAGTGAACGAGTTAATATCGAAAATATGTACAAAAATGAAAACATAATATGACTGTGGTGCTTCATACACATACTTGTCTAAGAGAAGATCTCGACTCCATGTACCGGCGCGCCTTAAAAGATCTATCTTGTGCAAAACTGTTTGTAAATTTTTTGCTCTTGTTCTGCATAGACATGAATATGAATCAATCAAGCAAAACAATAACTATGAAGTACCATTAACAAACAAATAAGCAAAGAAATATTCAAAAGCAAAAACACTTACCGAAACCCTAGTTTGCTTTGTTATAAATTTAGGGTTTTTAGACATTTTGATTATGTCATCTGTGAACAACACCAACATTAAATATATCAAAAACAATAAAAAGGATGTTATACAAAAAGGTTATGATGAATGTGATATAACAAAAAAAACATACCTAGTGTCATGTCCATCTTCTTCTCTGTAAGATAAACAAGCTCGGTGATAAGTGGTTTAGCTACCATCTGAAACAAAAGCATGAACAAATATCAATTAAAAATCAGCAACCATATTCAGCACAAATTGAAGGCAAAAATTGATGTAATATGAAGAATCACGGTGCGTAAAGACTTTATTCTAGGGTTTGAGACGACGAATTCGATGAAACATGAGGGTTTGTAAGATAAGAATAAAGATAGAAAGAGGTAGCCAGAAAGAGATGAATTGAAGGAGAGAACTTACGACGGCGGGGAAATCAAACAAACAATCGCGATCAGAGGTTAAGTTTTGAGTTTATAGTCGGGGGAAGGATCGAGTTTGAGCGTCGCTGCGGGGTTGGTTTTAGGGTTTGATGTTAGATGATAAAGGAAGAAGGTGGAGTAGAGAGAGAGAGAGAGAGAGAGAGAGAGAGAACGATAATGGTTAATGAACGAATGAACAAAAATGAAAATATAAAATGTATAAAACTACCTACGAAAGCGCTTTTAAAAGCGCTTTCTAAAGGTCATCTATAACAGCGCTTTTACATCAAAAAGCGCTTTCGTAGCATATCCTATAGCAGCGCTTTTAAAAGCGCTTTCAAAAGGCCAGCTTTAGCAACGCTTTGGAAAAGCGCTTTAGAAAAGCGCTTTCTAAGGCTGATCTTTAGCAGCGCTTTTGAAAAGCGCTTTCTTAAGGTACCCTCTAAAAGGCCAGCTTTAGCAGCGCTTCCCAAAAAGTGCTTTCTAAGGGTGACCTTTAGAAGCGCTTTTGAAAAGCGCTTTCTTAAGGCACCCTTTGAAAGCGCTTTTTTAAGCGAATTTTTTTTTAAAACCTACAACAACGCTTTTTTCCAAAAGCGCTTTCTTTTATGTGCTGCTAAAACTTATTTTTGACGCAGTGCTTTAAGAGACCCTATAAGATCCTTCATCTTCATAGTTGCTAAGGTTTTAAATTCTAGTATAATAACTATCACATGATCAAAATGAGGAATAAGGGTCATCATCATATTTTCAATTGTATTTTCAGTCATCACTTTACCACAGTTTTTCATCGTGTGAACCAAGAATTGAATCTTTAATTCATAGGTTGCAACGGTTTTATTCTTCTCCATTTGTAGAAATTCATAATGTCTTATAAGTGATTGCAACTTAACACCTTTCATGTTATCACCTCTTTCATAATATTTGATCAAGATGTATCATGCCTTCTTTGCATTCTCAACATGAGAAATCTTGTCAAAAATTGCAGCATTCACTACTGCTTATGTTAAGTACATAGCCTTTTCTTCTTCTCTTCCTTTTGAACATTCTTTTGTGTTTTAGTTATATTTTTCATGAGTTCTTGAACTCCATTTGTAACTACTTTGAGTTGGAAGGTCATTACCATAATTCATCTTTACATGGTTGAAAATTGCGGGAAAAACTCCATAATCTATGTATCCTACACACTCAAGAATCGAGCTCAAGATACCAAATCTATTAGAGCAAGAGTTTTCTTACTCAACAAGAAATTAGGGGAAGAGAAAATAAAGAGAGAACTTGGAGGAATCAAAGTGATGATTGTATTCAATTATGCTTAGTCATTAATACAAGTATGTGTTACATCATTTATATAGAATCGTGCTACTAATTAACTAACTTCTAGTTGTTAAGAATTGATTGTTATTATTATATTTACATCTTTATTAGAAAGTAAACCTAAATTTTCAACTGCTTTAATCGTTAGTTCAACTAATTCAAACCACTTGAATCTTTAATTTAATTTAACATATATCTTCGGCATACACATGCCCCTTATATCGAATCAAACAAAGATGGTATTGAAGATGTGGACAACACACTAATGTTGATCCTTGACTAACTCAAAATTAGATTTCTTTTATAAAGGATAAATATTTTTTATCAAGGAAAAATATTTTTTCTCCATAAAGGATAGGACCAGAAGATTTTAACATACCACTCCTGGCATTAATCCTAACACCCCCATGTATTTTCGTATTGACCAAATTATCTATGCTACTATTAATCCTAAAAATTGCATTTTTTTAAAGAAAAAAAAAATCATTGGTGAAAATTTCCGAAAAACGAAATTTCTTGTACACATTAATGAATTTTCAATATCACCTGAGTCACAATATCGGAAATTCTTTGTATTTCAAAAATTTCCAGAAGCGATACACCAAAAATTTCCAAATTGGCGGTACGAATTTCAAATTTTTGCAGATTATACCGGATTTTTCCAATATTTCAAGTACATTTCAAAAATCCCGAAAATTTTGTCAAACCTGTAATTTCCGGTATGGCAAAAAATGATCCTCTCTACTTGTGTGGTCCCCAACCTGCACAACTAACATCTTCTTCTACAGATTCTTATACATATTGTATAGAGTTCTTCATCATCGATGTTGTACGTATTCTATTTAACAAACCTTATTCTAAAATGTTTGTTCGTTTGTAGAAAATTATTAATTTAACCTGTATATTTCAAAATTGACAAATAATCAAGACTCGATCAAATGTTTTAGCATGGGCACAGGTTATTGGGAAACAGCATGATATTATTATTGTCACTACTCGTTCTGATTCAGCTAATGGAATTTCAAGGAGGAAGGATAAATTGATTATGGGTTGCAAGAGAGGAGAAAATTATAAAACAAAGAATGCATGTCAAAACACAAACTCATCTGGCGTTTATAGCATGAAAGTGAAATGTCATTTTAAGCTTAGAGTTATTTTAAGTGTTGGTTGGAAGGTGATGGTTAGGTGCGAGATGCACAACCATAGATTATCTGAAGATTTGGAAGGCCACGACATATTAGATCGTTTAAAAGATCATGAACGACAGTTTATGAATGATATGACAAAATACAACATGGCTCCAAGGTTCATAATTGCTGCTTTAAAAGACAAAGATCCTAAAAACTTAACTAGTGTTACCCAAGTGTGTAGAGCCTGAGCTACATACAAAACGGGCAAGAGAGGACCATTGACATAAATGCAAATGTTGTTGAGTCTTATTCATAAATAGAAATAAATGTGTTGGACTAGAAATAGGGACAGCGTAGATGTTGTTGCTGATATCTTTTGGACATATTTGGATTCAGTGAAGTTGTTGAATATGTTTCATTTGGTGTTGATTTTTGATTACACATACAAGACAAATATGTAAGAATATTTTATTGGACATCCTAACATTTGTTGTTGTAAATGTTGATTTGTAAATGTTGATTTGTAAATGTTGATTTTGATTATTTCCATGTTGCTCGTACAGGTACCGCTTACCGTTGCTTGAGATTGTTGGTGTTACGTCAACGAAGTTGAAGTTTTCGGTTGCCCTTGCCTATTTGGAACATGAAAGGGAGGATAATTTCACATGGGCATTAGAGAAGTTGAAGAAGTTGTTCTCTTCTGAGAAGTTGCTACTGAAGGTTGTGGTGACAGACTGGGAGCTTGTATTGATGAATGTTATGGAATATGTGTTCCTGAGTGCAACTCTTCTGTTGTGTACGTTTCATATTTCAGAAAACGTGAGAATGAAATGTAAAGAGTATGTTAAATTAGAAAGACAAGAACATGTGATAAAACTATGAAACAACATCGTGTACTCAGATACAGAAACTGAGTTTGGGGAACGCTTGAAGCATTTTCAAAGTTTTTGTGGGGATATTCCTTTATTTGTGAAATATGTGAATGAAACATGGTTGACACCTTATAAAGAAAGATTCGTTGTTGCTTGGACAAACAAAATCACTCACTTAGGAAACACAACAACAAACAGGTACACGGAACATGTTTGTGTTCATGTTAGTACATTGCTAAATATGATCTAACATATATTCTTGTTTATTGTTTTTAGGGTTGAATCTACTCATTGGAGACTTAAAAACATGTCGGTTACAAGCCGAGGAGATTTATGTCAAAGTTGAGATGTTGTGAACACCGTGTTGAAGTTGCAACTAAGTTCAATAAGGGTGTCTTTTCAAAAAAGTATTATCAACATTGAGCATCAATATAATACTTCATTCTATTCAATGTTGCATAGTTTTGTCTCAAGACAATGTATACAACTTATTGGAAAGGAATTGGAAAGGGTAAAATTTGTGGGCACATGCAAAGAAAGATGTGGTTATTTCATTAAAATTACAAATGGATTACTGTGTGCGTGCCAGCTTGTCGGTTTCCAGCTACAAGGCAGCCTGGCTCCTTTGAACTCAATTCATGTATTTGAACGAAGTTGCACATTTCAGATCGTGAGGTTAGTCAGGATGAGACTGGTATAAAATGGGATTTAGAGGCAGAGTGTGAAGAGTTAAATACATATTTCAATACTTTGGATATTGTAGGCTAGAGGATGTTGAAGAAAAATGTTTGGGAACTAATACATTCATTCACAACTTTTATGTGTCCATCGTCGGTGAAATACAAGCCAAAGAAGGGAGCAAAGAAGAGTAAAAAAGTACTGAGAATGATGTGCATCGTGATCCTAGCCAATGGGGATATGTCGAGCTCTCGCAAGAGAGTCAGACTACAAGGAGATCATGCATCAAACCAGATGGATGCCAACCGCCGAGTCAATCGTCAGCTCAACTGTCCCCCTCACTTTTTTAAGACATGCTTACTTGTTCCAATTTCCTGATTTCTTACATCCATACATTGATGATATTATTGATGTTGAAAATGATGAAAATTGTGGATTTTGTTGCATTGCAACTTAACTTGGATGGGATGAAGACATGTGGGCTTTAATTCGGACGCAGTTAGACACTCCAATTCATCAACGCCCTCAATTGTTTTCCAAGTTGTTCTATGACTCGATTTCTACAATTAGGAATTCATTACGAGTAGAACACATGGGTGTCCAGGATAGGGATAAATACATGAGCATTTCTGATATGGGTTACCTTATTGCTTCTAGTTACAATGTTGTATTTGTCTCCCTTTCCATGAGAATTAACATCACCTTTTTTCCTCTGGCCTTATCTCCACCTATGTATACGAGCAGGTATAAAATTATTGTTATTGACTTTGTCAACAAAAATCATTGG